AAGAATTAAATAGAATCGATATGTCCCTTTCAAATTCACTAGAGCCACAGATTGATGAAGGTGTACGGTTGAATGTCATAGCTAAAGTATCAGAACAATCAACGAGCGACGAGTAGAGTAAAAAGATCATTAAATGATCACTTTGTAAGTAATATTAAAGTAAGTCTAATTGCTGATATTTTTCGTTCATAATCGATGTAAATATTTCTCACCAAGCTACAACTTGTCTTACGCATACTGAGTAATCATCAATGACAATTGTTTTAGAAAAAAATAAATCAAATTTTGTAGCATGTGTTACAAATTAGTAATATCTAAAAGAGATGAGCTGCTTAAGCAATTGCCATGGCAATACAAGTGTTTATTACATAATTTATAAATTATTTTTTGTAATATTTTTTTAATGAACGACTCGTTTTCTCTGCTACGTAAGGAGACTGAGGCAAATCGTTTGACAGTAAAACAAAAAAAAGAAAGAAAATTAAAAATACATAACAAAATTTTACGAATCATTACATCTCTTCTTTATAGACAATAAAACGTAAACTTTGAGTAAACTAATGAGTGAACACCGTAAAGAATTTCTAGAAAGCACTTCTTTTTGTACTTAGTAAATGCTATATATTTAAATTTCCATACTTGTTTGAGTTTTCTACATGCTAAATCAAGTGGCTTATCTCAAGAAAATGGAGATGTCAAGCTTATCTTTTCATGCTAGACATGCAGTAAAGACGGTGCTATGACTATTATAGTACATGAAAAAATAAACATTTTACTCGATAGATCTTCCTTGAATAACAGCCTCAATGTCTTCAACGTTTAGTGTTTCGTACTTCAGCAATGCTTCGGCAAGACGCTTATGTTCAATTGAATAACTCTGAATAATATTCTTCGCTCGCTCGTAAGACTCCTGTATAAAAAAATTGAGTTAACATAGCGACAAATAAATTAAACTAGCATAAACTGCTAGTACAAAACGTTTGTCATAATTCATAATGGGTTAGCAACAGGTAACGTTGATACCGCTGGCTAACAATAGTATTATTTCCACAATGTAAAATGTCATATAAATATAGTATAGCATTGAACAGAATCATGACGTAATGAAGTAATGCACATCATTAACACACATACTTTTATGAGTCGTTTCACTTCATTTTCAATCGAGTTGTGTAATTCAGGACTCAATTTCTCTTCATCAGTAATAACAAGTGGACCAACCTAAAAAAATTGACATCAAAATTCATTAGATGAAAAGAACAGGAAAATGTTGTTAAAATTGTGCAATATATCTTTGTTTTTCCTAAAATTACCTTGTCACTCATCGCGTATTTTGTCACCATGGCTCGCGCTATTTTATTTGCTTGAAAGAAGTCGCTCGATGCTCCTAAAAATAATGGCGCAAATCTCACGTGAAATAAGCTTTCTGGTTCAATATTTTTGCATGTCAACATCAGTGACGAGGGAAGTGGAGGGGGGGAAGGGAGCAAGAAATCGGTCAACGACCGCTGACATATGCCAAGATTTGACCGAAATAAAAACTGAGTAAGAGTGAAGACAGAACTACAACCAACAGTCAAATCTTGTATGTAAAGGTAAAAATACTAAATGAAAATTTCAAATAATTTTCTAATATTTCATGGGTTTTGTATCATTACAAAAATAGATAAAATACTTCTTTAAGCCCACCGCGTTTGATATTTGACTAATCTGTCACGAATGACAAATGTTGTTGAAAACTTCCGAGCACACTAGGACATTTTGTCGATCACACTTGTCACGAATAACAAGTACGCGCGGCAAGTTTACCAGTGTGCGGCGGGCTTTATATACAGATTTTAATGATAAAAAATTGCCCTGTTTTTCCACTTAAAGTGCAGTCCCCAACGACCATTCGCTTGTTTTTTCTGTACCCCTCAAAGCTCTAACGTATGGAGGGAGAGGTTTCTAGATAAGCAGGAGGTAGCAGGCAGCTCGTAACTGAGCTCGAAAAAAACAAAAGATAAGAAATCATAAAAAAAGGTATAATACCAAAAAATTGGGAGAAATATCGTTTTTAGTTGTATCCTAACTTATTTATGCATAAGAGGTTTTATAAAATACAATAAAACGCGTGCGATGATTGGCCAATAGCCGTGTCATCCAGTACAAACCGATCTGAGCTCAACGAATCAAATCAATTAATCAATCAAAGAGAATTTGCAAATAAATCATGGATACATGTTAGAGGAAAAATCAAAAAGTCTGTATTAAATTTGTTTGTTTCGCATTATTGTCATTTTATAAAAGAAATAAAAGATGTTTTTCGTGTTTGCACTGGATTATGGGTTAATGCAAAATGTGAGAACTCTCCATCTTCTGTCTTGGGCTTGCACTGATGTACTCTCGAGTTCTCCCAAAGATCTCCTCGATCTGAATAAGTCTAAGCAAACACAGGAAACATCTTTTATTTCTTATATCGATGAAGCTTACCACTAGTTATATTATCACTGCCAAATACGAGTTCTTCAGCGACGCGACCACCCATGCATACATCAAGTTTTGCCATTAACTGTTTTTTTGTCCACGATAGTTCATCCTTCTCAGGAAGCTGAGCAACCTAATAAAAATAAGAAAACATTACTGTCAAAATATTACGTATGATCAGCGTATGATATCAACCTCGCGGCAATACAAGCCCCATGTTGTATGAGCCCACGATGCAGCTTGGGAATGGTGTCTTTAGCAACGTAATGCAAGTTTGTCGTAATTTATTGTAAACGACTCGCTATGATGGTTTTCATTAATAATATTAAGCAATTCGTCGGCAACAATTTCAATAGTTTCGTAAAAGCCCAATAGCATAACACATTTCACATAAACAACAATTCTCTACATTTAGACATGTTTCGGCAAACAATATACCACATTACAACACCTACAATAAAACTGAAAGAAACACTTAACCCCCCTCCCCACAAGCAGACCAGAACTGAAATAGATTTACTACCTCAGAACCATTTTCAACTTGAATATATTTTCATAAGAAATTTAATGCAGCTTTTTTTTCATTTGAATATCTATGAGATACGTAGCTACTTACCAAACCCAAAGCATCACCACGTGGTACAATAGTAGCTTTATGTAACGGTAAGGCTTCTAAATAAAAACATAACTTATTCTTATACCACACACAAACATAATTTTGGGGACTGGGATGAGGCTTTAAAACCTGATGTATAATAAGCAACCAATGCATGTCCTCCTTCGTGATAAGCAACAACTTCACGATTCTTCTGCTCGATAAAAGCACTTTTTCTCTCAGGTCCTAAATAAAAGATTTACCTTCACATAATTACTGAAATAAGATGTAATTGGTCTACAAATATTTTCAATGTTGTAATGAGTTCTGCATTTTAATTAATACAGACTTCAAGTTGTTATTAAGATACTCAAAACAAGGAAGTTCTTTCGAAATGGACAGCCTTGGAAACATTCCTTGCCAAAAATTTGTTTCAGGTTTGTGAACTTTGCACTCTGTGCATCTTACCCATTATTATTTTATCCTTTGAATATTCCAAATGTTCATTATTGACATAAGCATGACCTTCACTTGCTGCCTTTAAGGCGGCTTGATTCACCAAATTTGCAAGATCGGCACCTTATAAAGACAAATTCCCACGTTAAAAATGAATGCAGCAGCTGGCTTTACCCAAACTTTTCGTCAGTTCTAAAAAAATCTTGCTTTCTTTAGAGTCAATTTTCACCGGAAATTCCAATTTTTGTTTTTTCTCTTGAACTGGAAATTGAGTTTTTAATCAAGCTACAATACTGCATGTATGCTCTTTCCTCACCAAAAAAAAGTGCTGCGTTGAAAGTCGACAGAGGAATTTAATCAATCTTCCCAATAGCAGCAATAGTGCTCACAATTAAACGTTAAAAAACTACACACGTCAAAAATAATTGACCTGCGATTAATGGGGAGGGTGGTCTCTATATCAGTTGGCAACCCAAGATAAAGTTTGGGGACTAGCTTTTGACAATTATCTATTTCAAATCTTTTATGATAAACAGAAAAACACGTGATCGTCAACTGTATATCAAATGTAATATACTCATGCATGCATCATAAAACAATCAGTTTTAGTAAGAGACAGTTCTTCAAGAAGGATTGTTTACCATAACAACAAAAAAGATACAATAATGCAATAAGCTTAAGATTTTCAACATATATTTTATAAGATACCTGAAAAACCTGGAGTACCTCTTGCCAAAGTCTCTGGACTAACATCTACATAAAAGAAAAAGTTTATAATCTGGTTGTCATACAGGCAAAGTGCTAAGGCAAATAAACTATCAAAAATTATCCATCACGATTATCCAAAACTTTTTTTCAAAATAATTTAAAGGATGTTCATTTATAAGTGTCTACTGCCGTATGGCAACTGTAGAACGACACATCTACAATATATGTATGTATATCTTAGGATCGTTGGGGGTACGACATACATCAATGACATGTATGTACATCTGAAGATTGCTGGGAGTAAAACAAACATCAATGACACATGTATGTACATCTGAAGATTGCTGGGAGTAGGACATACATCAATGACACATGCATGTACATCTGAAGATTGCTGGGAGTAGGACATACATCAATGACACATGCATGTACATCTGAAGATTGCTGGGAGTAGGACATACATCAATGACACATGTATGTACATCTGAAGATTGCTGGGAGTAAGACATACATCAATGACACATGTATGTACATCTGAAGATTGCTGGGAGTAAGACATACATCAATGACACATGTATTTAAAATTCATTACCGTCCGCCATCTCTACTTTTCCAAGATGCAACTCAAGAATGCTTTTACGAGCACGAACATCAGGCATTGGGACGGTCACACGGCTGTCAAAACGTCCAGGACGAACTAAAGCTCTATGAAAATATCGTGACGATTAAATTATAATGTATAGAATATTTAATGTATAAAGTGGGAGGAATATTTTAAATTAATGCAGTTAACTTACTTATCAAGAATTTCAGGAAAATTTGTGGCAGCAATAACGACAATACCCTCAGTTTTATCAAATCTATAGAATAAAAGATGTTTGAAATTCTACCATAACTGATGCACGCAGTCAAATCTATACATTCAATAATGGACGTTTGGAAAACTCTACCATAAGAGATGATAACGTTGTGTAGGGGACATCATAAGTATGTGTGATATAGTATATTTTATAAAGCAATAATTTGTTCGATGCATTAACTAGTGCCATAACATTAACAATAGAATGCATCAACGAGGAGTTATAAACCTTACCCGTCCAATTCAACAAGAAGTTGATTCAGAGTCATTCTTGAATATGGTTGATGATCACCAACACTTCGTGTGCCTCCAATTGCATCAAGTTCGTCAATGAATATTATACAAGGAGAAAGCTCTTTCGCAGAAGCTATGAATCAACAGTTCATATTTTAACAAATATTGATTCCTAACATTTAGTTGCAACTTATGTACGTACGTACGTCGATAATTCTAGTAACTTTTCTTGCTAAAACAACCAATCAACTGAGACCTTCATAAGTATAACTGTTTATAAGTATAACTGAGAAGCTAGCTTATGAACTTGAACAACTGAACTTGAACATAACCCCCAAAAAATGCCTAAATTTGCAGGCCACTGAAATGAATTATACAAATGCATATGATGGCTTTGGTCAGCAATATAATTAATGGGTTAACGATTAGTTATCCGATACTATCTGCATAATATTCGCAATGCCATAAAATTCATATTAACAACGCATGCGTACAGTGAGATAAAATGAATACGAACCAAAAAGATTTCTAACTCTAGCAGCGCCAACTCCAACAAACATTTCATCGAATTCAGCTCCAGAACAAAAGAAAAAAGGAACTCCCGCTTCGCCGGCGACAGCTTTGGCAAGCAACGTCTTACCAGTTCCTGGGGCACCAACCAATAAAATACCTGAAATTAAAACAACAATCATTTAAAACCACAAAAGATGTAAAGTTAGCTCACAAGCATGCTAGATCTCCAACCTGATGGCAGCTTTCCACCAAGCTTGGTAAATTTTTCTGGTGATCTTAAAAACTCAACAATTTCTCTTAATTCAAGTTTGGCCTCTTCAACCTACGAGAAAGAAAGTACTTCATTTTCTACGAGTCCCTTCAAATGCAACAACAAAACAAAAAAAACTCACGCCTTGAACATCAGAGAATTTTACTTTTTTGTCTGAGCTGTCCGGTTGAACTTCCTTTTGATTTGAAGTCACTGAAAACACGCAAGATTAATGGTCTTTTGCTGAACTGATCGTTGATTTGTTTGCCAGTAACCAATCGAGAACATTTGTTCAAAATAAACTGCCATAAATTATGATTAAGTAAAGCTTCTAAGCAGGGATTACTTGATCTTACATCCAGTGAATAAGCTCTCATGGTAAAAGTAAAATTACACAACTAAGTATATCATACGTACTTCTCATTTGGAGTTGCGCCTCCAGAACGGATACAATAAGGAAAAGACCTATAAGAAATCTTAACGTATTCCACAGTTGTTCTTTGAAAAATGACCCTAGGAAACAGGAAAATAATCAAGATTTAAATGAAGAGTAACTACGTCTAAAGAAAATGACAAGTTACAGTTATATGGAGATGAAATAGCATTTACTAAAAAACATACAGGACGAAGTTGTTTAAACGAGCGATAACATACTTCTGGTTAAAATCGTCATGACAAAGAATTGACACAACTGATTATTTATAAACTGTATATCTTGTATTATTATAACCAATGAAAGATTAATGCTCATATTTATCACAACTAGTTTTACGTTCATCATCATTCATAAAACATGAAAAGACAAACTGATAAACTGGTCTTACGTACATACGTTTGTCAAAAGTTATTAAGAGATATTTAAAAATTAACTTGACTAACGTTTATCATTATTCATAGAAACGACAACTGGATTCCCTTCACTTCCTAACTCGCTGGAAGATGATTTTGCTGGGCGTTGACGAAACGAAAGAAATGGCTTTCTTGCCGCCTAAAAAGAAAGAACGTTTTGTATTTAAATGATAAACAAATTTGCGAAGTTTGACTGGTTGTCAATTGCTTTGAATTGTTCTTAAGAACCTTTCTTTCCTTATCCATCAACTTTTTTATACGAAAGAAATTTACCTCGCCAATTTCATCATTTCTTATTTTATCCGTCATTACAAGCGCCTGAAAGAAGATAAGAGATTTCAAAGATTTCAAAATGGCGACTAAACATTTTTAATTTCAGTGTGTAAATTGTGTAAATCTATCACACAAAGATAAAAAAAATGCATATGAAACTCAAAAAATGTATCAACAATCAAACGCAATGACCTCTTTATATTGATTAATTTGAATTATTCATTGAACAACATATACCTTATAATACTCTCTATAAACTTCATCACTACTTTTATATTTCCCACTTTCATATCTTCGAATGACATAATGTGGATCTTCACTTACTATTGCCTAAGATAGATTTAAAGCTGTACTAAACAAAAAAAATGCTATAAAAGTTTTTCCTTTTACATTTAATACATGTTAGATTATGAAGTCAGCAAGTACACCATTAAATATTTAAATTATATGGACAAAAAATATAATTTGTTAAACTCTAAAAAATATGTACATAACACATATTTTTGTCATTTCATGCAAGCTAAAGTAAAAGTATATATTTATTTTTTATAGCAGCTAGGGTGAGAAAAAAATTGACAGTATTTTATGTTTATTTGTAGTTACCTTTAAATAGTCAGCCTGGGCATCTGGATCATTGGGGTTATCATTTGCTCTTTCTTCCAAATCACGAATTTGTTGAGCAGAGTAAGTGTATATATTTCGTGTAGAAACTGTTGAATGAATAAAATGAAAATATATGAAAGAATGAATGAGTGAATGAGTAAGTGAGGAGTGAGTGAAATGAGTGAGTGAGTGAGTGAAGATGGGATGAATGAATGAAAGAATGAATGAATGAAGTAAAGTAAATGATGATGATGATGATGATGATGATGATGATGATGATATGGAATGGAGTGATGAGTAAAAATAATCATGAATGATCATGATCATGAAATGATCATGATGATGAAATGAGATAAAGTCAAGTAAATGAAGTAAAGTAAATGAAATATGAAAGTAAAGTGAAGATGTCGATAAATGATGGTCATGAATCATCATCATGATGATGATCATGATCATGATGGATGAATAAAGGATAGGATGATGATGATGATGATGAATGAGGAGTGAGGAGGAGGAAATGAGGAGTGAAAGGATGATGGAATGATGTCATGTCGAATGGAATGATGAAAATAAAAATAAAAAAATGGAATGGAAAATGAATAAATAAATAAGTAAGTAAATAAGGAATAAATGAAATAAATGAATAAATGAAATGGAATGAATGAATGAATGAATGAATGAAATGGATGAAAATGAATGAATGAATGAATGAATGAATGAAATGAATGAATGAATGAATGGAATGAATGAATGAATGAATGAAATGAATGAATGAATGAATGAATGAATGAATGAATGAATGAATGAATGAATGAATGAATGAATGAATGAATGAATGAATGAATGAATGAATGAATGAATGAATGAATGAATGAATGAATGAATGAATGAATGAATGAATGAATGAATGAATGAATGAATGAATGAATGAATGAATGAATGAATGAATGAATGAATGAATGTTTGTTTTAACAAGCTGACCCTGTCAAAAGAAGCTTATTTCACAAGGGGAGTGTGCAAATTATACACAAAGTGAATTTTAGAATAATTTAGAAATTCAAAAATTTACAAAATGAAACTAGATTTATATGATAAAAAAAAATATGAAGGAGGCGGTGACAAATTATTTCACATTATAAATTAAATTAAAATTTACAGATGCATTCATCAACGATCTATGTCAATGAAAATTTTCCTTTGAAAGGCAGAAAGGGATTTCCTGTCTCTATTTCTAGGGGATTAAAATTCAAGATGTGTACCCCATTGTACATAAAGCTTTTTTCATACTGTTAAATACAAGGAGTTGATAGACAAAGACTACTAAAAATATCACAAAGATGATAATTTGCCTTTTCGCTTTTATATAAAAACATATTGGAGAGTGACTTAGGAACCACATTATTTAATATTTCTTACATGAAGAAAAGTGAAATCTTTCATGGCAACTATTAACACAAGATGAAATAATTGTGTATTTGACATGGTAAATGTAAATAACAACATGAAATACACTGACAGAGTTTTGCTTCAAAAGTAATTGAAAGCTCTATTTCCTTATTTAAGGCTTTTACCATGCTTCAATAATAAACACTACCTGCACCATTTTTTCTTGACCACATTGGTTGTAGGGATATCTTATGCCACATTGTAGAACTTGATCCAAGAAGTCTTGATGACCTAAAACCTTAAAACATTGAAACGAAAAAATAAATACATGATAGTCATTTATGAACAAACACAGATTTGACAATCTTTGAAACATGGAGTAAAATTCATTCATGTGCAAAAAATCACATTACAGTGTCAAAAAAATGTAGAAAAGAACATTTTATAAAGTTGTACTGACCTTCGTACAAATTTTCAAAGAGCCTAAAATTTACAACTACACTGATACTTGTATTACTTAACCTGGCAACCAAACTACTACCTATTAAACTCCTTTTTTTCCAAACAAACAATGTGCTAACAAATGGAAGAATTTCTTATATACTATGCAAAAATAAGTACCATGTAAATTCATGGTAAAAATATTTTACAGAAGTCCTACCATGTTTATTTTCATAAAATGATTCTCCAGATATATATGAAGTTGCCCATGGTTGCAAGACTATTTTGTGTGTAGGTAAAGTGATTGATAGGGGTGAAAGCAGTCTTTGCCAACCATGAGGGAGGTTTTTCAACAGTTCAGAAATTGGTGTCTGACTCTGAAACAACAATACAATAAATGGTTAAAATACACAACTATTTATTATTACAAGTTTAAATTAAAGTGATATAACTTATTGCAATGACTTTCTAAAAGGTTTTACATTTGTGAATACAGTGCAATTGCATCTCGTCTGCTTCTTCCCTCTTGCCTTATAAACCTTTATTTTCACAATTTGCAAAGCTTATTGTCTCTCTTAAACTTCAAAGGGATTTAATCAAATTTTAATGAAAATTGCTCTCATTTGACCAAAATACTGTGCTATATACATGTGCATTGGAAAAGTAAAAGAAGACATTTCTTTGCAAAAGATATCTATTTGAGCACATCAGTGGAAGTTTCATTCAAATGAGCTACATATAAACTACCTTTACTTCATATTCTTGTTCATATGGAATAGACTCGTGATGTACTTTCTTTTTCAAACATTTTAAATATGTTAGAAAGCCAGGCCAAACTGATGACTTCAGTTGATGAAGATGACCAGTTAGTTCAATAAAATTACTAAGAACCTAAAAAGTGAAATGATTATGAAAAATTTCAACATGAAATTTGATAATACTGATAATACTGATTCAGCATTTTCCAATAAATTCATGAAACAGTCTTTATATAATGGCATCTTCACTGTAAAAATTCCACTGGTTTTTAAATGGTTACTATCCGTTCTTTGTATGTTAGGGCACGTCTAAGTACAGAAAACAGTGCTAGCTTAGCCTAAATTAGGTAAAAATGATCAAATTAATTGCTATTTAAACAGTAAGTGAAGGCATTATGTACAAGTAAAAATCTTAAACGTAAACAGACTTTGATAGATGACAAATTCAGCAATACTGTTAAACAACAAAAAAAACTGTGAGAAAAAATGCGAAATTTCACAGCTCCAAAACTACTTTTGTCAACTTTTTGAGTATCAACTACGTCAGACACAATTAAATCTTTGACATAAGTCCCGTTCACCGCACTAACCTGATAATTTAAGCCAAGCGACGATAACATATCGAATTTTCAAGGCACTAACACTTTTTCAAGTCAACTTTATTTCGTCATTTTTTAACCTTTTCAAAAATGAAATATTGAATTGATAAACCGTTCAATGACAATGCTGAAATCGACAAATTTTGTTGAGAAATGAAAACCAGTGAACTATAATAATAACTGGAGCGATAACTCCCATAGTTTTTCCCATGATTGTTTAAAGCCAAACTCCCCCCTGATATAATGCGTGTTTTCTTGGCGACTGACGTTAGTTTAGGCTTGTTGGCAGTTAAAAACAGTGAAAAAATTATTTGTTTTCGTTTTTTTGACACATTTTGTGCTTTAAAATTGCTTCTACCATAATTAGCGTATGCCTCAGAAAAATACTTCGAGGAGAAGCATAATCGGCAAGAATCGTGGACGATTGTTTTTAACAATAGGCGGTAGAAGACAGCAAATTCGATCGGCACCGCGCTGTTTCTCTTTTGCAAGAGGCAACGAAATTGATTGCTACAGCTGAAGATTTTCATCCTAGAGAAAATGCCAGCCTCGATAGTAAAGCACAAGTTGTTTCTTCGTCGTCAGATGTAGCACATTCACATCATACACAATCGTATTCGTCTCCATTGATAATGCAATCGTCGAGAGTAAACAGCTCACAACGCTTTTTGGGCAATTTCCGAAACCTTTTTCTCCATACCGAGACAGAAGAAGAAGTGTAACCTCGGCTAGCCAATCTACTTTTTCCCAGCCCAAGTGCAGAAAACAAACTCAAAAGGCTACACCATACAACAAACGGGAAACCTGGACGCACGTCTTTTTCTCTTTGGCCAACTGTAAGCAAAATGCTGCTCCTAGCTTGGAGCTCAAACAGCAACTTCAAGGAGCAGAGCTGGGGAAAAGAAAAATTACTTTTCAAGCCAAAGCAAATGCAGTTGAGTTAGAATTAAAAAGCTACTAATATATTTAAATTTTCTGATTTCATCATTTTGCTTATGGTTAGAGAACAAACTGTTGAAAAAGAAGTTAATGAAAAAAAAATTAACTTGGATGATAAGGCATGTGTTTTGAAGAAAATATAGCATTCCTTGCTGTCATTGTTTATAAATGTATTTTTCAAGCCTGTTTGCTCTATAGGAAGAACTTTTTGAGCGCAGATGTACATTAAAAGGAAAATATGACCTGCAAAACTTTCATGTATTTCGTACGCAAAGTGAAAGGTAAACAAACAATAAAATAGTACAAATATATCGTACATAAAACTTAAAATAGTGAAGATTTTTCAGTCTAAAGAGTCCTATATTCTCGCAAAACCAGTATTACCGATTCATTGATATCATTATTGACAAATAGAGCCGTAGCTGCTTCGCAAACGTCGGTGTTTTACACAATAAAAAGGCTCGTTCTGTTTACAACTAAAGCAAAATTTTTGACGAAGCGATAACGACAACAACCTTCCTCGTGCCATTCCCTTACACGGTCAAATTTCGTACTCGTTGTCGTAGTCGTACTCTAGCTAAAACTCCCTAATAACTCAATGAGTCCGTACTCTAGCTAAAGCTCCCTATTATTTACATACAGCCAGACGGGTGATGCGGCCATGATATTGCCTTATTTGGTGGTGGAATGCACGTGCCCGTGTTCCATTTCCGTTCACAAATAAAATTGGTTTCTGAGTGCCATTCCGAATGAAATTACTCCGAATGAAATTACTCCGAATGAAATGCTCAAATGACAGCACTTAATAACGAAAACTTTTAACTTCAAAAGTGAATAAATTAATATTGACGGATATCACACCTCATACAGGCTTAATATCTTTATGCATTGGCTGGGACTTTTCCATTTGATATTACCATTGGGGTGGTCACTAATTTCTTCTTTTCTTGAAACATTCTTCAACATTTCCGTGGAATACAAGTTGAGTTCTTTCAAGAATAAATTCTTTTGTATTGTATCGTCCATATGGAACCTTTGCAATAAAGTTTTTCTCGACGTTTGTAACGTATTGTCAACAATCGAGGAGAATGAATCAAACTCTTCAAAACATTCCAAGTCATCAGGTCTGTGAAAATCACTAAACTTGATATGGTGTAAATTACGAACCACAAGCTCGAACGGTTTTGTCTTTCGATTGCTCGTCATTCCTAAAGGTATTGTCATCTGCTGGATCTTTTCTGAGTAGCGAGTTAAAATTGGAAATTGCAACGTTTTCGATAAAATTTTCTTTGACGTAAGACACTTGCGACAGACACGCAACTTATGATAATTATCGTCGAGAGCTTGACGAATATAGGCTGGAAATGAAACTCGCGTCACACAGCGATAACTTTTAAAATGAAGTGAACCACAAACATCACACCTCGGCGAGATTTTTGACTGAACAATTACCTCATCTATAAAAAATATAAGAGAGAGATTATTTGCTATTCTGCAAGAATTGAAAAAAGAGAAATACGCCATTTTGAAGAGTATTAAGTGAAGATGTATTACCGTTACTGCGTTAAAGCACTAATGATATTGCGCATTTAATAAAAACGACAAGTTTTTTTTTAAAAAAAGGTGTCAAAAGATATGTGAGTTTTTGTCAGTTGTGGTATGAAGATGTATTTGCTATAAAATAAAATAATCGACCCTTGGGTACCTTGGGTTCAAATATATGATATCTAATAATATCTTTGTTGGAGTGCAAATGCAAGGTTAATATAAAAATCTGTACTCAAACGGGTGAAATGGGTATACATTAACATTACCAGCACTGCTATCCTTATCATTTAAATTTTCTTCCTCGCTCAAACTTTCAACTGATTTAATACCGTCTGAAGAATCTTCTTCAAAATCACTACATTACAAAGATAAAAAATATTTGAAAAGATGAAATGACATAACCTTGTTTTTCAATAACAACAACAATTTAAGTTGTAGCCAATGACGTAACACTTTGTTTCTCACAGTCAAAACAATAATTTTTACGGGAAAAATAAACAATGATAACGTAACGTTCTGAAGTTTGTATACAAAGTCTAACGAGATGATTTCTAAAGTAAATCGTTTGAACCCGGTATCATTACATGTTTGTAGATGTAGATCGTCCAGGTAGGTATAGTCCTGAGAAGGACTGTTTTTGTTGTGGTTGACTTGACGTTTCGACAACCTTAGCGGTAGTCATCTTCAGAGTGGTAGTAATCTTCATCTACATCTTCATCTACATCTTCATCTTAGCGGTAGTCACCTTCAGAGTCAAGAAAACTTCTTAAGATGACTACCGCTAAGGTTGTCGAAACGTCAGTTAACAACAACAAAAACAGTTCTTCTCGGGACTATACCAACCTGGACGATCTACATCTACTAACATGTAGAGATGATTTCTAGAAATTTTTGAGTGTATTTTTCAAAGTTTCAAAATAATTTTCCTCATACATCTTTCACAACCCTACATAGTTATCCAACAGTCAAGGATAATTCACAGTTTTTTTTTGTCTATGGATGTTTGCCGAAGTAAAGCAACGCGCAAAGCTACATAAAACATTTCTACTTCTTATTATGCTACTTTTTTACATTTTACAGTTCTTGAGCAGCAAAATTCTTGCAAAGTTGAATGTATATCGTTAACGGTCATAAAATAATTATTGTTTTAAGGATTCCTTCCCACCGTTTTTCTTTGCCACAAATGTCTTCTTTCCCAAATAATTCACCACTAGAAATCTAAGTAAACATTAAGCTATGATCAACTACAAACGATAATTATACGATAAAAATGGTTGACGGCTTCATTTGAGTTTTAATCAAACCTTTATGGGAAGTTTTCACGACCTGGTATTAACGTCTATGTTATGAAACTTATGAAAATTTTCTTGTGAATGTCACGTGATTCTATTATATATGATTACAAGTTTGTTTATATCGCACTTTTAAGTACATCTTTACATTAGTACAAGCACATAAAAATCGTTTCATACCCTGTAACACTGTACCCAACGAATCATGTCATTTCCTGAACGAGTCAATTCCAGCCATAGGCCTACGGGAGCCATCATTTCTGGAGGGGGGGGGGGAGTAAATAATTTCCCCAATTCACAATGAAGAAAATCGATGGTTGACATTACAGTAGGTGAGTTACGCAAGTCTTTTGCGCGCAAAAAGAAAAACTAAAACAATTAAGTATTTGAAAAATATTAAGAACCTCTTGCATAAATTTCCAATTTTGTTTTTAAAAATGTTTCGGAAATTCATTGTAAGTTTTTGCTTAGGTAAAACATCACAGGCTAATGTTTAATTACACTAGCCATAAAAACAAACAGAGATTCATACACAACTGAATTCTCGATGCAGCAAGATTGACATTCAACGAAAACAATTATTTTTCAAAAAAGCTTACTTTGCATATCGCTTCAGAAATATTTGAATAAATTATAATTATAAACAACACCGTTTTCATTTTACTAGCAAAATTAAATACCTAAAATTTTCCCATCATTTCTAGCAAACAATTATTATTGCTACGGCGATCAAAATGAAAAATATAATAAACACATTACCTACGAAATATCCTGTGAAAAAGACGATATTCGTGAGTTTGTGCAACTGCGTCGGACCAATGCCACGCTACACAACTCAGATCTGAACACACGGAGAAGACACAGTCCAAAAAATTACAAGACATACCTTTTGCACAAGATCGTTCGCGGTTTTTGAAATTCTAGACTGCAGCCACAAAAATATCCCCAATATCACCTTACGCTTAGAAAGACGAGCTTTAAACGAACTTTTTACAAGGCTTTCTCAATGAAACCTTTGATTTTCGATAGACTGCAGGTTGTCAACAGTCAATATTCTAAATGCTTGGAAGTGTCCGAAAATAATCGAAATTGAAACAATGACGTAACAATAAGAACGAAAATCTATTGGACCATTCAATGATATGTTATTATTAGGTTACATAGTAACCAATGTTAATAACTTATATCGGAGGAACCGGTAGAAGCCTGAGACTAAGCTAATAAGGAATATAAATGACGTATTTATCGTGGGCAAGACTGAGGAATCTAGCTAACATAATTTGATTCAATTTGCAAACTAACCTATATTGATATTGATGTACAAAACATTATAGGGATCAAGTTTAAATCGTCTTTTTTTCATATACATAAATAAAATGACAATTTTTACCAGTGTAAAAAACAGTTGAATTACCACTTCTTAACTGAACTATTAACATTGTTACTCCATTTTAAGACCAACATTTTATTTAGAAATTGAAATCGATATCATCATACGTAACTGGTCTTGCTTTGCTACGCAAACGTTCAGCTATGCCAGCTATCTCTTGTTCATCACTTATTTGAAATGTATTGTTCTTTGATTGTATTCCAACATTAAAATTAACATGCTTTCCACCTTTTTTCTTCTTTTTCTTGCTTGTCTTACTATTTTTCTTTCAAAATAGCAAATACCATGGTGAATGGTGATAATAACAATGTAATAGTTCTTAAAAGAACTGTTTTAACCAGAACACTAACCCAACAATTCAAAGGAACCGTTATTTACAGCTAGAAAGAGACACTATGAATTTCGGCAGACTACTCGTCAGGTGTCAACGTCTGCTAAACCAGAACTTCCAAATCATGCTATATTTATGTTACAAAAGGTCAATGTCATCCCTATTTTTAGAGATGCCACTTAAAACAGAGACAGAATCAACACATAATCCTTTTGTCGGTAAAGGACAGGATTAGTCAATTTAATTAATACCGACTCCATGACGCGTAGCTGGAATAACGAGCGACATTTTTTAATAATTTTAAAGTTTTCATCAGAATAAGCATTGGCACAGCGAGTGTTGCGTAAAAGATGTTTTCCAATCGCTGAATCACATAGAATCGAATTTTCACTTTTACACCCACGTTTTGGTAGTTGTCGTAAAGGAACAGTTTTATTCCTGACAGAAGCTGGTACATGCTGTTTTATTCTTTCACTCAACCTTTGAGAAGTCCTACCTACATAGCGAGCATCACACTCACACTTAAACTCGTAGACTACATTGCTTGATATTTGAGCAGGGAGAGACTCTCTGAGAGTGGGTGGAAGAATAGTTCTTTTTGAGAATATAAAGACCACATTGCATGCAAAAAACAAACTCTCAGTTATATTTTTAGTTTCCTTCTCGATGTCATTAGAGGCCTTACCCATCCAGGGAAGTTTAAGAAAAACAGGGCACTTAGCCGGTCCGAAAAGTTTATTCCGTTCATTGTTAGTGGATAAGAAAAGTTTGTCTAGCAACTTTTCCGGATATCCATTTAACACAAAAATATTCTTCAGTGAGATAAGATCACTAACAATAAACTCTTTTGAGGACAATCTATGCGTTCGCTTTATCAAACACTTCACTAAAGAAATCTTTTCTCTATGCGAGGAGAAAAAGTCAAAGCGTGTGTACAAACCAGTGAAAGTTGCCTTGCGATGAATGCTTGTTAAGAACTGACCATTGCGTTTGTGTACAAGAACATCTAAAAAAAGCTAATTGATTGTTTGACCCTAGTTCAGAGGTGTAATTTAGTGCAGGGTGAAGAGAGCAAAGTTTATTAAGAAAAAGTTCACGATTTTTATCGTTCTGAAACAAAGAAAAGGTGTCATCCACATAACGCTTATAGCATTCCAGATATATTTACTTCAATGTTCTCATGGTCCCATGCTCAAGTACTGCTCACGCAGAGGACCACCAGAATCTTCACGATTGTAAAACAACTCCGAGTTTAAAGTTTGTGCACTCTAATAAGTCAGAATGTCATTGGAAGTGTCGAGATTTCGATTTCATCCCAATATTTTCTCTAGTTTTAAACTACCCTGGAGCTGCAATTTCTGGCGGAGGGCAGTAAGTATTTTTCCAAACTCACAAAGAAGGCTCCATCGAATTTTCGACCGAATAAAGTTAAAAATTTGCCAATTTTTCAATTTTTAAACTTTCGGGTCCTCCCCCCATGCCGTACGCCTATGTGCACCAGAATTTTACAGAAACAAAAATTGAGAGATGCGCGTTTATTAAAAATATTAAAACAATACTCAAAGAGCACATCGCTTATCGAACATTTCATATTGCGAAACTAATAGAAATGGAAGACATACATCGATATTGACTATAGTAAGGTTTTTAGTTATCAAAACTTAAAAGTTACAATGTACTTCGTTACCAGCACTTATATTATATTATATATATTGATTCTAAAAATCAAAAGTTTTATTCATAAAATCATTAAATACAAACGTTCGTGAAAGAACCATATGCATCACTACACGATTGGCAAAGTAAAAACTGCATAAATTAAAAAAAATGTCTGATGTTATTGGGTTTAAAACAGTGCAACTCACGATCGTAAACTGTTAATCACACCCTTTAATTATAGATATTATACTTGTATATATATGACATAATTGTTGAGTTTGCTTTTTTTATATTAAAGAGATGCATCAACAAATCGAAAAAATCTTGCAAAATTCTACCACAACATTCAATCAAGTTTTCTTAGACTGTTCATAAGGATGGAATGTAATTCCCTTTGCAACAGGCTCAATTAACTGAAAGCCAACGACAAAATAAACTTTTGAATCTTCGTTAAAATCTTTATCTGGAACCCCAATATCATCTTTGTTAACGTGCAGTTCAATACCACCTTCAAGAAGCTCGATCTTTGTGACCTTTTTTTTTCCCTTGGTACGAGCACGCAGTCTACCAGCACATTCTTTTAGCTTCTGTCTAGAATATTCCTTCCAAAAACTTTCAGTTTCCAGATCTTCCGTTTTGTGGCTTAAGTAGTCAGAGGCAGGCACAAGTTGCGATACTCACTTGCCGTTCTTCTTCAAGAAATGTACAAATCGATAACTTCTACAATGTCCACGTGACAAATCCTAAGTTTAAACACCATGCTTTTGTACTCAGCAATGTATTCATTGCGATCTTCACCATTCAAAATGTGAATGAACGCCATTACCATAGTAAAGTAAAATCGCTTTGGATCCAGCAAATTTGGTACTTCCAACCAATCACGACACACCTTCCAGAGTCTCTCCATGGATTGAACCTTTGGCCCATTTCCCTCCAGACTCAGTGATATGAAACTGGAAGCAAAAGAAACTTCCTTTTCATCAATCACAAGATCATTCAACAATTTCATCAACTCACTCATTTCATTTTTTTTCAAAGGCTGATTCCGATTTGATGTAAGTAGCATTTGGGCTCTTATACGTTTGGCCTCTTTTGAACTAACTTTTGGTAATTTATAATTGCCTATGAGGGCAAAAACATTACCATGACTTTTAAAAACTCTATTGCGATTTCTCCATCCCTCCTTGGTCAAAAAGCATATCAAATTGAACCGTAAATTTTGTGTACGTTGTCGAAGCTCAGATAAATCGGCTTGAATTGATACTGTGGAAAACATAATATCATCAACAATATCAAGAAGATTAAATGAATCACTAATACATGTTCGAAAAAATGACGGTGCTCCGTTCAGAATGTATTTGCCAGCTTTCTCTACATCTGAATCATGATATTGGATGATCCATTGAATACAGGAAGTCCAAACTTCTACCTCACCTAGTAGAGGAGAAGTAAATGTTGGGGGAAAATCTCGAGCAAATCGAAACTCGGAAATTGCAATATTGGCCAAGTTTTCCAAACATTCTATGTCCTGTATTTCATTATATTGAACCTTGTGCTTCAACATGATGGAAAGCAATATACCTTTGCTGTCGTGAATACTCTTCACCCTGCCATAAGTTTCAGATAATTTAATTCCTTTAGATATTAATTCTTCGGCTTCCTGAAACTTTGGAGGAGACATTCTGGCATGATAGCGGGCAGCATGTCCACAAGGTCGAGGATCAGGAATGATTTCAGCAGCTTTATGAAAGATTTTGGCAGTTTTTGTTTTACTAAAGCATCCTAACTCTTCGATCAAAAATGAAAAATTTCGTTCTTTCGTCCCACCCTTGTTGAAAAGAAAAAGGTCGCAATATAATTCAACAAATTTATTCATATTGTTATTAGGAGAAGAGTTCAAAAACCAAAAAACATATTCGTACAAATTTTGTCGTCTTTTCTCCAGATATTTTTTAAAAAGAATAGTTGCTACAACATGATGCTGAAGAGTATAGCGCGGGCCACACTATCGTCGAAATGCAACGAATTTCGTGACGAGTCGCTCGTCAACGAGAAAATATGACGATATGGACGAATTCGTCGCCGTTGAGCATCATTGAGTTCTATAATAACTGGAGGGGAAACGTCAACAAAATTAGTATAAATTATTAGCGCGCGGCCGCGTGGTCAAAAACATGGCGGATTTTGGTGGTCAAAGTCAGCGGAGAGACGCGGGCTCATGAAATAAAATTTTTGTCGCCCACCCTGATTCGACCACCACGATTGCGAGTATAGAAAGTATCAAAACTATTTATTTTCCTAACATAAACACTTTTAAAACTTTATTTATTAAACTGCCAACTTTTGTGGTTTGCGGATGCTGAAATAGCGACAGAAAAGGGAACATTTCTTGACTCCGGTAAGTAGCACAGTATTAGTTTTACTATTTTGTTTTTAACACGATACTTGAAGAGTGTTTTACTACTA